AAAAAAATGGGACTGAAGTACATAATTGTTTTCCTTAATAAAGATTATAATAAGTACTACGTTTTGCATATTTTACATATTTTCGTATATTCTATGTATTGTCACATCTTCAAATTTTCCATAGATGAATAAAAGTCCGCATTACATATTCATATAAGAATATTGAAAAAGTAGTATACCTATCACAAATAGTACAGAATTACAATCATTTCTTAATTTACTCTGTAGCTATACTCTTATTCTAGGTATACGAACCAATATTTCATTATTTCTCTGTATCTGAAGTGTTAAATATGTATTATGCACTAGCTGTCGAACATGTTTCGTTTCCAGGATATGTATGTATATTGTTTTAAATGCTTCGTAGCTGCATCACTTATCGCTTATTACAAACGTATTCATGTATATTTAATATACGTGTTATATAGTAGTTGCATTAATCTGGAAACGACCTTAAATGTGTCTTTTCGGTAGGATAACATTGTGAAAACGTTTACGTCATAGATTATACACGTGATTATAGAATGCTGTCATGCATAAGTATCAGTAATAAAATTATCATACATTAAAATTACGAGCATATATACATATAAATTGTGATTGACTTAATTAATATTTTCAATATGATCGAGTTATTTAATACTGATTCTTTAAATACATATGAATGAACATTAAATGTTACTTTAATTAAAAATCATATATTGTAATCAAAATAATATTTAATGCTTGATTGCATATATACATTACACATAAAAGATCTATATTGAGAAAATTCAAAATATGAATAAATAATTTTTTCGAAAATGTTGGATTCATTTATTAAAGAAGCATATTAACAATGGAATTTGATAAGACTGATTGCTACATGTATAGTAATAGTATACAATAATACACATACATATTTGAATCACCGTTTCGAAACAAATACCATCTATCTTTTTGCGATTTAATATTAACTTATTAATATCGAGACTGATTTGTATATGTATAACTATGTCTTTGATCTGTTATCGCTATATGTATTATAATTCCATATAGAGTGATACGGAAGTAATGACGCTAGAAAGATATCAGGCGATATTGTTAATTTGATAAATAAATATGTGATGTGTATTGAAGGAAATGAAATTTAATCAAATAACTGGTAAATATTTTTGAAATTAAAGATGTAAACACATAAAACGTAAACTATGTAATATGTGTGTGAACCAAATTAATCTTTCTCCATTTTAACATTGGATATTTCATATAAATCTTTCGCACATATATTAGCATTTATTGGCTAACAAGTCGAAAATCCAAATTAAGCACAAAAATAAATTAAAAATATACAAAACGATCATAAAACCTACGGAATACCACTATGGGGAACAGCAGCAATGAGCCATATAAGCAAAATAGAGACTATGCAAACTAAAATTCTTAGAACAATAGTAAACATCCCATGGTACGTTAGAAACGAGGATATTCGGAAAGACCTGGGAATGCCAAAGGACAAGGAGATTAGCAGATGAGTAAGAAGGTAAAAAGAAAGATTAGCAACGCACCCGAACCGACTGGCAGCGGAAACGGTCGGCGCATCAAACATAAAAAGAAGATTAAAAAGGAAACACCCAACAGATCTCACAAAGGATATAATCTAATAAACACGAAAGTGGTACCCCGCTGGGGGTAGCCACCCACATGATAATCAAACAGCCAAAAAATTCTACCAAATGTCCAAATTGGACAAATTGTGAATGTAAACAACTAAATAAAAAAAAAAGAAATATATTAGCATTTTATGTATATTACGTATATGTCACAAGACGTATATGTTTTAATGACTCTATATGTAAAACATATTTGTACCCGTATCGTCTATAAAAAATGTTCCACGTAATACATACTTATTCCAAAACATTTCCAAAGGATATATAAAATTATAATACATTTTATTCGTACCATGTTTGTTGTTCTTATTATTTAAAATGTTTCAACAACTATGTAATACTAATCGTAAATATTTAACTATGCGTTATCAGGTATTTATTATTATTACGAAATATTATGTATTACGAAAGCATCGGATTTCTAGTTGGCCATGGTACTGTACTACAAGATAGGATGTAAACACAACAGTGAATTTATAAGCGGATATATATACATACGAAACGATTAAGAATTTTCGCAGTCTATATATTCTGTGCGTTTACATATTTATTCCCCATTTATATTAAAAATCTTCAGAGAGTACTTTTTAACAACATTTATATAGTTTTTCAAACGATTATTTTGATATTTATCACCAATTATAAATCTTCATCTTATAAATTTTTTGAGTAAATTTTTTGAGAAATTATTGCAATGTTTTGATTAGAAGATTAAATGAAATTACTTTTATATTCCAGCTTAAAAATATTTGATAAAATATTTTACCATTGTGAGATTTACTAAAATAAAAAATACTTCTCTTTTACACAAAGTGATAAGTTTTTATTACAATAAAAAATTTTCAGTAATGCGCAATAACTAATGCCAATATGCCTGTTATAATTGCTTCTATTATATTGTATATTTATTCTCAGGCTTACTACAAAGAAAAGCATTTGATAAGTGTTCTTGTTACTACTTCCCATTTGCTTATTCTATGCTTGACCTAATTATGAGATTCATTTCCAGCATTACCAAGTTCATACAGCTTCTATCAATAATTTTGAAATTTTATAAACAATAGGAAATGTAATATAGAGACAAGCAGAAGTGAAATAAATTATATTTAGCTGCATATAGTGAAATAAGGATTTTGAGATTTTAAAATATAATTACAATAATTACGTTTTATAAATTTTATATCATTTATTCACATAAGTAAAAAGAATATCATTTATATGGTCTATATAACAAATTAGTAATGATGCTTGAAAAATGTTAAAATTTATAATCGTTATTTAAGATTTATTTAGGAAATATAAAAACTGATGAAAGTCAATTTTGACAGCTATATTTTTTACATTAACAGCACATGAACATAACCTTAAGTATATATTGAGTTGCAACATCGTCATATTTTATATTAAAGGAGTGAATAAAGATATTTACGGTTTAATTACAGCGTGAAATCACCGGAGCCACCGGGACAATTTGTTTAACATGCGCGCAATGGATACAAAACGTAAGATCGTGTAATATCAGAAAGTCAATAAATCGAACCATAACATTGAAAAAAACTAATTATTTAAGATACTATATATCTGGTAGATATATATAAACAAAGGAGTTCACTTACCGAGGGGTAAATCACAAAGAAGACAACAAGCAGCGATAGCACCAGCCGATGCACCACTAATCTTATCCAAAAGTAAATGTGGAGCGTATTTCTTAAAGCACACTGCTACACCAACATGGTAAATACCAAGGAAACCGCAACCAGCAAACGATAAATTCATTTCGGAATTCTCTTATACTTTATGTCGTTTATTGTTAATTCGTTTAGATCGATTGTCAAGGATAATCATATGATAAATAAAAAATACTGATTCCCTTTCTTCGGCACTATGAACATCGCACATAAAGAAAGACAGTATGAACGACGTACTTCGCACGACGTCCGCGTTTCAACTATTAGTAGTCCTTTGCAGCAGCAACAATAGTCTCCCGAAACTCTTGAGTCTAATCTTGAATACGATTGAAAAAAAAAATACATGATGTTACAAACAGCCAGAGAGATAATACACATTTGATGACGTACGGTTTGTAAATACTTGCCAAGTTCCTGATTGGTCGATTTTAATCACATCCCAATGGTGTGGTGATAGCCCCGCCCACTCAGCGTTCTTAAACTCATTCAATGTGTAATACATATTTCTACAGGTGCACGTGTTTTCCCAACAATATGATTGTCTTAAAATGCGTTCATGCTCATTTAATAAATAATGTTTGACAAATCGTATTATGATTATTTAATGTAAATAAAATTTACTGAAATGACAATTAATGTCCTTTTTTATATAAAATATTCTTTCTTATATATTTTTTTAAATATTGCATTTATGTTATGCAATTATTAGCAATTTTTCAATTTTTACGTATAAATATAGAATTTAATTGACAAAAATAGAATTTTTATTTGTATTAATCTAATGAATATAATAAATAATTGATCTGAATAAAGTCCATGGTACAAGAGAATATTATAAGAATATTATAAGAATTTATTATAAGAATATTATAATAATATATTATAATAATATAACAATACTAATTTAATATATAAATATAATAATATAAGAAATATTATAATATGAGAGAATGTATTGGGTTGGCAACTAAGTGATTGCGGATTTTGTCAATACCACCCAATGGCAAATAGTTGCCAGCCCAATATTTCTTATTAACAGTTAAATGACTTATGGAATTTTATGTTATGAAACTGTAAAATCATAATCAGATACTTCCTAGTTTGTTTTGGTAATCAATGAAAAATATAGATTTGAAAATGATTATTATCAAAGAAGAAATTTCTCTCACGAATGCTATTAATTAATGTATGTATTAAACAAATGGTGTTACTAGATTTATATTTAAGTTAATTTTAGTATTATTTAAAAGTAAATAGTCAAAATATTATAAATAAAATTTTATTTTATCTTGTACTTGGTTAAATTGTAATTGGTCTTGTAATTGGTCAACCATTTAGACTTCATTTAGGATTGGTTCGTTTTGTAAATAACAGTTGATTATGAATTGATACGGTTTTTAAGCATTTTCTATTTTGCGTAAGAAAGTTATACTTTATATTATGAATTATATTGATTTCATAAATATAGCATTTTTAATGTAAACGCTTCTTAAATTACGGCTTAATTGTACATTATCTTGAAAATTAAGTTTAACCTTGAATTTACTTGGCATACCATATATGTTTCCTATTTTGTTTCTTGAAAATTTATGTTTGATAAAAGATGCTTGGTGTATTTTATTATAGCTTTTTATATATTAAATAAGATACTTTATAAAAATAAATTTCAAAATTAATACCAATTATTTGATATTTAAAAACCATATAAATTTTAACTAACTGTTAAAAATTACAATATAGATTTTAAAACAAACTACGTATTACAAAGGAAGAAGACATTAATAGTACATGAAATTTTCCGATTAGAAAAAAAAAGAGAGAGGAGAAAAGACAAGAGAAATTGCATACCGAATTATAAATATCACATTAAATTTAAGCAGTTCCAGTTTCAGTGTATGTTTTTTGACATTTTCGTATATGACATATAACGATATAACCAATAAATGACTATATGACTTAAAATAATTTAAGAGAAAAACAAAGTTGAATACAATGGATGAAAACGTACAAACATTACATGGGATTCATGGAAATTCCAATGTATCAAATGAAATAATTTATCATGCAGTATACATACCTGAAGAAAACATTGATTCTTCAATAGAGAACAGTATTAAAGGTAAATATATAAAAATAAAGAGTTATCTTGTTATTTTTTTATAATCTTGCAACTATTATTTGAATGAAGTAAATAATTCACATTTAATTATTATAGAAAATATTCGAGTTTATCAAGACAAAGCAGAAGCTTTAAAAGTAATTAAAGAATTTAAAACTGGTCGTCTGAAATCATTTAAAAAAAGATCAGAAGCTGAAGAGTATGCTCAAACTGGCTTTGAAAAATCAAATTATGTGAATAGTACCTTAATAAATGCAACTGTACCTGTAGTGGAAGAAAAATCAAATAATTTTAAAGCTCCACGATCTCAAGATCTGATATGTTTTAAAAAATTAATTAAAGATGGAGATTTATATGCTGTAAAAACTACAGTATGGGGAAATCCGCGTTACTTAATTGGTAGTGGAGATACACCTGCAATTCTGCAAGTGAGTTTATAATTTATAATCATGTTTAAGAAAGGTATAAATTATCTAATATGCATGTATAATGCTATATTTTTTCATTATTACTTATTATAGGAAGGATGCCGTTATAATGCATTACATATTGCAGTTAGGGCAGACAGACCTGATATGTGTGAGTTAATATTAAACACTGTTGGAAACACAGACTTCATAAAGTTACTTTATGGTGATGAATGCAAGAGTTATGTGGATCGTGCACAAATTATGTTAGATTTATATTTAAACACACCTGACAAGGGATTAAATGAAACTCCATTACACTTTGCAGTCAAATTTGGTTTAAAAAATGTAGTTCGAATTCTTGTTTCATATCCATGTTGTATAAAGACATTACCAAATAAATATAAACAACTACCAATAGATGTACGTAATAAAATATTTAAAACTTTTCTATTATTGCTTTTGATTTATAATCTTTTATTATTTTCTATATATTTTTGTAATTACCACTATAATATATGTTAATTTAGTTTGTGTTAATATTACAGATAATTTGTACTAGAACATGTCAAGAAGATGAAGGATTAAAAAAAGAAATACGTTTGCTACTAGAAGATCAGTATTATGTACCTGTATTAAGATCAGATGATAATACATTACAACCTGTGATTGGGGAACCTTTCTCTCCTACTAATCTTTTGGTATGTTACAATATTTCAATTTATATTGTATGTCTATAATATTTTATGTGGATAATATTTTTGTAGAGTTTAAATACCGATCCAATTAGTCCACGTTTAGAAGTACGTGCGTTTGCTGGACCAATGACAAAATCTCGGGCATTAGAATTTAGAAAAAAGTGGAAAACGCCACCGCGTCTTCGTATGACTCCTATTAAAAAAACTGATGATGAATCTAATGCTATAGATAGTCCCACTAATAATTTAGCTTTAAGATTACAAGATGTAGAAAAGGGACTTGAACGAGTTGGAAGGTATATTTCATAGTAAATTTTAAGATTTATCATAATCATTAAAGATTAAAAAAGAGAATTACAAACCCAATTTAATTTACAATTTAATTTTTAGAGACTTGGCAGAAGAGTACCAAGTATCATGGAAGGAATATTGGCTATTTTTAAACGATTTTGCAGATTTTCGTACTAAGGAAGGTTTAATAAAACTTGAAAAATATTTAGAACATAAATTTCAGAATCAGTTACTTCATCATAACCAGGTACAACAAATATTCATTGAATTTTTAACACTGTTACGTCGGGCGACACTCTACCTAGACCAGGCCATACACCGCAGGTCAGATGGGAACCAGATGTCCGCTCATCCTTATTGCGTACCCTCAATAGTCTTAAGGACTCATCATAAATCTCAGTAATTTGCCAGCTAAGGTCCTTCAGGTCGAACAAATATCTTTGTTTCTAAATCATTTTCTGTAGATTATTGTCTAGCAAATTACTGAGATTTATAATGGGTCTTTAAGACGCAATAAGGATGAGCGGACATCTGGTTCCCATCTGGCCCATAGTGTATGGCTTGGTCTAGGTAGAGTGTCGCCCGACGTAACAGTGGTGAGTGTTTGTATGTTAGGTTATGTCCTTTGTGAGATCTGTTGGGTGTTTCCTTTTTAATCTTCTTTTTATGTTTGATGCGCCGACCGTTTCCGCTGCCAGCCAGTTCGGGTGCGTTGCTATTCTTTTTCTGTACCTTCTTGCACATCTGTTAATCTCCTCCTTGACCGTTGGTATTCTCAGGTCTTTCTGAATGTCCTCGTTTCTAACGTACCATGGCGCGTTTGCTATTGTTCTGAGTATTTTAGATTGCATTGCCTCTATTTTGGTTATGTGGCTCATTGCTGCTGTTCCCCATAGTGCTATTCCGTATGTCCAGATTGGTTTTATGACCATTTTATATATTTGGTCTAGGTTGAGTATCGCCCGATGTAACAAACATTCATTAAAAATTATTATACTTCTTACATAATTTTTTCACAGACATCAAATGAGAACCTAATTAATTCAAACGAAAATTCACAAACGAAATCGCAAATTGATGAAATAGATTACTTATATAATAAATTACAATCATGGTCATTGCTTACATCAAATGGTGAAGAACAAAATAATGTAGGTAAGTCTAGAATGCTTTATAATCAAAATTCATATTAAAGTATGCAATAAAAAGTATCTATAAATATGACGTTTTATTTTTTTCTTTAGATGAACTAGAATTTTTTACACCGCCATCATCACCAAAATTAACGGTAGATAATTCAGATGATGAAATGCAAAATGCAGAGGAAGGACATGGGACATTTCTAGAAGGGTAAAATATCACATGAAAATAAATATTGTTTTAGCAAAATAACTATTTTATATAAACACATTATAATTACTATACATATATATTTCCGTTATTTATTATTTTATAGGCCAGTGCCAACAAAGTTAGATCATGCTGTTTATAATGCAGTATCAACATCACTTAATTCCATTACATATCCAAACATATATCGTTGGCAACATGACATGCAACTTGCTATGAAGCGTGATTTACATAGGTATCGATCTTTTATCTTTCTATACTTGTAAGAAGTAACTAATATTATATTTTTTACAATAATATAATACAAATTATAATTTGTTATTTTTCTAATTACATAGGTATTAATTATTAATACAATCTAATTTGTTGTTATTTTCAGAAAAAATAGCATAAGGGGAATTAGAAGAAAATTGATTATGAATTTTTAGATATGTGAGATATCAAGATGTTAAACGATGTAAAAACTAAAACTATAAAAAATTTTTATATTACACACAATAAGAGTTATTTGTTAAATAACATTAATATACTTCAAAACTTATTTTAAGTGTACTAAAAAGCGATATATTTTCATAAAATTTTATATATGATTAAAATAATTTATGAAAATTTTATATATTGTTTTGTAAACTACCATTTATCGTTAAATTTATATATGTAAGGGCGTTATTATGTATATCTTTATATATAACGACATTAGTAATTACGTTACACATTTAATTTTTTAAATTTAATATTTATGCACGTACTTGCTATCAGTAATCTTTATTCACAATAATATTACATTTTTTCTTAACAGACCATATATGATCTTTCTTTCAAATGATATTATTATAACTTGCATACACTTTTCTTTTGTTTCATAATATATTTATACATACATATGTGAGTGTATGTGTGTATATATATATGCATATATCTATAATCCATACCAAATTATTAATTTAATCAAAGACTGACTGGAGCTGGTGGAGTTTGCTTCAATTGCAAAATAATTGAACGCATTCGAGAAACATCTTTTGAAGTGCGGGAAGATTTGGGATTAAAGTCGCAAAGTTTTGCAATGCGTTCCCATTCAGTTCCTGGTTCCACTTCATCAGCTTCTGCTACGAATTGTTTTTCTGCGTTCCTAGAGATAAATCCATTATATTACATAAGTTACAACGTATAAAAATTGAAATGCGACAATACTTGAACATTAAATGCACTAATGACATTGCAGTATATGTATTGAATAATTTTATTTTCGTTTCTTACATATAATGTGTGCAGCGACGCAAATTCGAAATTTTTTTTGTAATTTTTATTCATATGAAGATATGCTTTTTGTTTCTTGTTTTCGTTTCTGATAAAATGTATCACGAAAGTTATAACCTACGTAACGAAAATTGATACAAATATTTCATATAATTCTATCTATGAAATTGAAAATCGTAAATAAAGAGGAAACGTTTATATTTTTGTATCCGTTCTTAGATAAACAAGTTAGATAACTTTACCATACTTTAAATTACCATAAGAGATATGGTAATTTGATGTTATATAATGTATACATACAATATAGAAATGAATAATTCCTATAGTATTTATACGTTTGAAACATTTTAATATATTTGATAATGAAATTGTTAAAATTTAATTGTTGTAACATTTATGTCAAAATATAACGATATAAAAATTATAAAATATTATAATGTTTTAACATGTATCTTTATGATAATTTCTAATGTAATTAAAGTCAATAAATGTGTGGCTTACATATGATATGATTTGAAACAATGAGATCTCAAGTATAATTGCATCAAGCACAAAATATACGAATTATTACAAAAAAGCAGCTAACATATATGAAAATATTTCCGATACCATTCTGCAAGTTGCTTTATAAAGTGAATAAGCAAGCTATATTATACAGCAATGCAATGCAATTATACATGCAAAAAAATATAGTATAACTTACTTGGCAGATTCCCTAAGAAGCAGAATGAAAATAATATAATTGTATGTAGTACATATTTTAAATAAAATATTTATAATTTTATACAGAATAAGACTTTTAATTGCATCTACAGATATGCGATTAAAAGTTATATTTATAAAAAACATATTGAAAATATATAAAATAAAACAAAATTAAATAAATTAAAAGAGAGGGATAAATGGCAATTTTAAATATTACCTGTTTGTAGTTTTTGTTTTACTAATAGCTTCTGCATGATGTTTATACCATTCTTCTAATTCTTTTCTTGCAGCTTCTTTCCATTCTTCCTTTTTCTTCTCTTCTTCTGCATCTAAATAAATTACATATAACAATAATTAAATATTAAAATTATGAATGTTATATAATGGAATCTAGCTAAAAGAAGATATTTACCTTTTTCTTCTAGTCTAGTTTTTTGTTCTTCTCTCCATTTTCGTATTTTTTCAGGTTCTTCCTTTACAGGTGGAGGCTTGGGAGCAGTTTCTGAAAATATTTTTAAAAATATAACATCCCATAATAAGTTATACATGATTTAATAAAAAAGCAATAAAATATGGTTTACCTATTACTGGAGGTGCTTGTGTTTCAGAAGGTTGTCCAATTGCATCTATTATTTCAAAACTACCTTCAGCATCACCACCTGGGCCAACTTAAATTTTTAAAGTTTGGGATAATTAATTAGAATTACCCAAATAAAAATATATTTGTAATTTATAGTGATTTGTTTCATTATGTGTATATTAATATACAGTATAAAAATGAAACATTTTGTCGATATTAAATCAAATATTACAAAAGACAATAAAATGATAACTTTTCTTCTACTTATACATATATTGAATTTAACTACCATCTATATTAGATGCCATTGTAGGAGCAGACATAGCAACTGGTGGAATTTCATTTTCAAGCCCTGCCAACTGATCCTGTTCTCTTGCTACAAATTCTGCCACTGGATCTACTTCTTGCTCATTGACAAAGTTGTCACCAAATGCCATATCCATTTTGTCTAATAAGAATATCAAACAAATTGACAAACTTTGTATTAATATCTTTAAATATAAAAAAAACCCTATGAATATAAACTTTTATTTTATACAAAATTCTCATACATTTATTGTTTAACATTCAGTCAATCAATTTTATAAGAGACAAATATACATTACTGTTACTATTATATTAACTACTTATTATTATATTAACATTTTTCACTTTCATTTTATTTATTAATTATTTATTAATTAATATTATAATACATTAACTTTCAAATCAATATAATATATATTACTCATTTTATAGGTTAAATTAAAATCCTATAAATAAATTTGTTTATCCATCAAAAAACATAAGTAAAAGTAACCTAAAAGCATGTATTTATTCATTTAAGATATGATTAAATTGTATAAAATCGAAAATATTGAGTATAATATGCGAAATAAAATGAGAATATTTATTTAATGATAAACGTAAGAAAATGTTGAATCAAATATTATACCTCAATAATATTATGGAATGTGTAATTTTTATCTCGGGAAACTCCCACAACTGTCTTTTCGTTTGATTTCTATTAAATATCAACTGCAAATTGTCAACGTCAATACTAGTTTAGAGCACAACGCACACATGCGCACAATTAAATATAATGGCTAAGCAAGAGAAATCAGTACTACCAACATCAATAATATGAAGAGAGTATCTTTAAGAATACTAAAATGTTTTATGTATTTAAAAAAACACATGTCATAATATGTGAAATTAATAACATCGTTTATTTTATGAATAATATTAGTAATAACCTAATTCTTCTTGTCATAGCATATGAAAAAAAATATTCTACTGAAACACCTATTTCAAAGTTTCTTGTTTAAATTTGTCTAAACGTTTTAACATTGAATATTGCTATTTAACTATTAACTTCCTGCTTAATTTGTTTTCAAAGTTTGTAATTCAAAGTATGTATCATAACAATTTGATTTCGTCATGTCTTTTTAAAAACATTACACAATTATCGTATGAGATGTATCTTTATATATATCGTAAATATTATAATTAAAACATTCAATATTATAATCGAAATACAACAAAAAAAACAAAATTATGTGTATATCCCTTTTTAATATGAACATTATAGACACGCATAGTGTATCAAACACTTGAATACTTTTGTTTTGCTCAGAGATCATGCATAAAATATGATATATATTTTTAATATTTAACGAAAGTATCCATATGAACATTCGTATAATGTATGTTTTAAAATGAAAATTTATCTGTAAATGTACGTGTATGTATAAACAGAAATGTCTTTAAAATAGCATGATCTATGAAATGTATGTACAATAGAAAGTGATTAATAACATTACTTTTGTTGGTTACACCATAAAAATCGTAAATAAATAGCTATGTCAGAATCCTAAAAATAAACGAATGTTGTAATCATTTTAATACATAAACGCGTTTCCATCACAATGATGTATATTTTTAGTACAATGTGAATAATAAATACAGTTATTGTTTCTTACACTTCCTATTATTTTATGACAGATCACTGGCAACAAAATTTAGATATCATGTATGTAGAGCAAGTGTTCTGTTAACAATCGTCTAAAAAATGCATATAAAAATACAAATTCCTAAATAACATAATTTAGAGCTTCATTCGTTAATATAATGACGGAGCTCTAAAAACAGTTATTAAAATTTACCTACAACCTATAAAACGTATAGGTGGTGGTGGGATATGAAAAATAAAGTCAATATGCTTGTCTAGGCTAAACATAGTGACCATATGTTAATAGAAGTAACTCGTTCATTTCATTTGTGAAAGAATAGCTCAGTCTTGCCCTAATCCCCTCCTTGTCTTTCAAAACACGGGATTTACAACGGGAGGTTCGTTATCTCCAAATATGTATAGATTTTTAGATTTTTCTATTTCTGTGTAATGCCTATTAGGCATTTTCTTCTTCATCTTCAGAGCTCAGTGTAACATTATCAATACATCGTGGTAATAATAATGCTACATGTCCATATCTAAATAAAAATATATTAGACATAATGATAAAATCATTGATTTAAAGGATAAAAAGAAAAGAATTACTTTGAATATTAAATATCTAAACTTACTTGCTGCTTTTGTATTTTTCTTGGATGGCTTGTTGTAGAATATTTAATGCATTGCAAAAGGTTTTGTTCAAACACAAAATGCATTCTTTAAGATCCTTTAAGCTATACCCTGACGATAATTCTAACTCATGTGGCCACATCTCTTCTAACAATGTATGCCGTGCAAGTGCAATTGCAGATGCAGCTAAATGACTAGGTAAAAATTGGAGATATGGATCTCCCTCAAGCATTGATAATTCACAGAGATACTATAAAATTTTGTATGAAAATTAACATATATTGATATGTTACACACAATGAGGAAATATATGTAATGTATTTACCATTGCTAAAAATTTAATTTTTTCAGAAAGGTTATTACTAATACAATATTCCATAAGGAAGGTAAGTGGTGTTGGAACAGTTAGATCAAAAGATAAAACCCTCAATATTAAATGCTCCATACGTAATACTTGTTTTTTCGTATATGTGTCATCTGTGATATATACAAATTCGCCTACATCAGGTGGATAAATCTCTTCGTATTTTCTAAATTATTAGTATAATATTATTTTTTGAAAAACTAAAGACTAGATATAATTAATTAAATAGATATATAAATAAATGAAACTTACGCAGCAATAAACATAGCTGCTGTACCTACAAGTTGTAATTTTGCTCTTACAACGCTCATGTATGATAAAAAGCGATCTATATATGAAACAGCTAAATAAAGTGTTTCTGTCTGTAACCGATACTCTTCGGCAACTTCTACGAGCCAATCCACTAATATCGATCTCATTGAATATGTTATATCAGGTTGTTTCTTCATATAGCCTGGTTTTGGTCTATGCTGTGTCTAAAATAAAATATTTTATTAAAACAATATGTTAATATCTATTAATTACTCTAAATTTAGAAAAAAATTTTAGGTAAATACATACTTCTGCAGCACGTAAATAATTATATATATCAGCTCTATATTCATCTACATCAAAAAAATTCATTCTCAATTCTTTAATAGACTTTCTTCGTTTTTGATGGTTTTTCTTTGAGGAAGACAAATAAGAAATTGATTTTTCTAAAGACATTGGACTGCCTTGTGAAAAAATGACATCATTTTCTTTCTTTTTATTTATATCTTCAATAGCATTATAAAATGTTGGTAAATTTGAGACAGTCATAGGATTCACTTCTAACCTTGGCTTTTCTCTTTCTGGTTTCACATCTTCCTTCTCTTTTATTTCTTTCTTATCCTTTGTGTCTCTAAGTGCAACAGAAGTTTCTTCTTCTAACTTATCTTCATAGATTTTAAATGTAACTTCCTCCTTTTTCTCATCATAAATTTTAAAAGGTTCAAACTGTGTAGGTATAACAGCTTTTGTTTTTGGATACTTTTCATCCTTGTATATTTCCTACACAAAGTCAAACGAATATAATTACATATTTCACTATTAACATTGATAATAAATGATTTTAAGGTCATAAAAATGTTGTACAGCTTCAAAAATCACTTTCTACAGTTTGATTAATGTGTACTATAAAAATAATAAATATCGAGTTTTCCAGTGTAGAAAAACGCGGGAGGAAAGATTACGAAATGTATACATACTGGTTTCGTATTACGATTACAATTATTGTGAAGAACACCTAAAACTGCACGTTTTGTTGGCTGCAATGTTTGACTTTGAAGAGGCACGGAAATATTTTCTTTGCCGCGACGAACATCGCTAATTCGATTTTCTTGATCCTCATGTACTCGAATCGTGGCCATTATTTAGTTCCAATTTTACACCAAATCTTTTATATATAACTCGATTCTTCTCCTTTTCTAAATTATTATCACTTTTTAAACACTATGCATGCCCACTTCTTGTTACAATTAAGAGTATTTACCGTCCATACATGGCAGATAAAATTTCGAAGCTCTAAGCAACCCAACAAACTTCAGTTGCCGTTTGATTTCAAACAAACGTAACTTCAACAGCTGGCGATACGTTAAAAGCGTTGCTCAAATAGACCAATGAGAAGAGCATGTCTCTTATAAATTGGAAATACACCAATCAGATAAATAACGTGTTAACTTGCGCCTTTAAAATTATCCTTGCTTATAGGCGGATATACACATTAATGTGCGATAAAAAAACTTTTTTGAATATAAAAATTTGTTATCTATACACATTTTTAAACGTATGAATTATCCTTAAATTTCTTAAGGCTTAGTTTCATCATATAATATAGCTATTTCAAGTGAATGTAGATAACTAAATGTAAAAGCCATACTTTAATGATTGATATTTGCATTTATTATCGTATTATGTAAAAAAGGAGATATAGTTTTTTATATAATTTATTTATAATGTATTTTAATTGATTGGCTAAAAATTGAATTGGTTAAAAAGTTGTACTACTAAGAAAATTATTTAAATTGAAAAATGAAAATGGCAAAATTATTATATAGAAAAATGAAATAAATTATATGTATCGTATTTTTTCTAAATTCAATAATATATAAATTATAAGTTAATTATGAAATAAGTATTATATGTTTATTTTTCTTCTAGTATAGTATAGATACTATTTACACTGAAAATGACAGTATAAAATAAGTAAAATGACAGTATATAATCCTATTGAGAAGGGAATGTAAAAATAAGGAAATAATTGGTAAAATAATCAGCTAGCAAAATAAGTATTAATTATACAATATCAAATTTTTAAATTGTACAAAATATTTCAGATCAACTTTCTAATATCTTTTACTTTCAGATACCGGAACTTCAAATCGATTTATACATCTTGAAGTTTGTTGTTCGTGACTACTGAGAGCAAGCTCATCGGTACTGATTGCTATTTGCCGTATAAAAGGTTTATTTGCGTACAAGTTCGTAATGTTTTCACGATTTTCTCGACTACAACTAATACCGTGATTGGTTTTGCAATCGAAGTTAATTACGATAATATCGAGAAGTGTATAATATCGACATATATTACGTATTTCTCGTATAAACAGTGTGTGAAGTTAGAGTCTTAACCTCGTAAATAACGTTTCACATTCGACGGTATATCAATCATATACTGCTTAAAATTGTAAAAGTGATTGAAAAAGATTCACATCAAAGAAAATAATAATGAGTCCTTTAAATCGAGGACCTCTGCTAGGGCCAAGAGTCCCACCCGCTGGTATACGACCTCCACCACCTCCTAGATTTGGTGGTAGACTTCCACCTCCTGGTTTACCTCCAAGAATGCCACCACCTCCAATGAATCCAGTTTTTGGGCCGATAAGACAAAGATTACCACCACCACCACGACCAGTTGGAGTGAATCGACCAAGTGGACCAATGCCATTATTTGGTCCAAGAGTCAGAGGTATTGCTCCTATGGTTCCACCGATTAGTTTAAGAGGTGTAGGACCTAGAGGACCATTAATGAGGCCTTGGCATAGAAGAGCATTACCTCCTCAGATTTTATCTCATATGAGACCAAGATTTTCAGTTGGCAATGGCAATGCAAAAGGCAAAGCACTGAATAATGTAAAAAAAGTCAGTAAACTTGAAGTAAGTATGAAGATTTTTAATCATCTTGATATTTGTAGAGTTGAGCAAATAATAATTCTATTACTTTGTCAAAACATGTAGTAATAACTGCATGAGAATGAAGGCATGAGCAATGAATTTATTTAATTTATTGATTATTATTTTTCTTATTTAAATATGATTTACTTGTATTTTAGTCTCAGTAGTATTATGAAGGAAATAATTATCTACTTTTTATTCTAAATTGTCTTTTGTATTTAAAGTCACTTATTTCAGATTGTGGTATTTAAATAAAATGGATTTATGAATCAATCTAAAATTAGTTATTATGAAACACATGAAGGAGAAAAGTTTATGTTTCTAGATATAATTATTAAAATTCTTCATTGCCTAATAATAGATTTCTGATAAAATTTAATGTATTGATTGACAATAAACAGCAACTTGTTTTATCATATACATGTATATGCTTTGATATCTAAAAAGAAATTAAGAATACAAATTTTGAAGTTATTTAAATTCTGACTAAAAGATATTATAATTATTTAGGAATTAGAACTAAAGAAACCATGGATGACTGATGAAATTCGAAGTGAAATACAAAAGAAAAATAAGTTGTATGCTAAAGCAAAAAAGAATAAAGATGCAAAAGAATGGGAAGAATTTAAGGATTTAAGAAACAAAGTAACAAGGATGATCAGAGATGCTAAAAATGATTATCTTGCAAAACATCCAGAACAGGTATTTTTTCCATTTAATTTTTGTACATATAGTATAAAATAATATTCTTTTCATAACTAACAATTTATTAAGGGAGATTAAACTATACTTTTTTGATTAATAATCATTTTATATATCTTTTATTTAAAATATGCTATGTACAAATTATGTAAAAAGAAGAAGGTGTAATTTTTATATATAAAGTAGTAGCCCTACAATATAGGAAAAATTACAACAGTAACTAAGTTTGCAATTTTGATCATTTTATTTTCTGCATAATAAATTTTAAATTATTTTAATAAAGAAGAGTCAATATTTTATATATTTATAATTTGATATTTTGTGTACTATACATTTTCCTATAATGTTTATAGATATTATACTACGATTAAAAATACAACACCATTTACAGTTTCATATTTATAGAAAGATTTGTTATATACTTTTATACAATTCAAAAAGTTTGTGAAATATTAGTTACAGGATTGGTAATCTGTATGGCTGTGTGGGATTCCAAGACTTTTGAGTTTCCAAGTCTTGAGACAATTCTGCACATTTCTAATAATCAGTAATTATTGTAAAAAACGAGTATAATACACTAACTTGTAGCACATCCTTTTTAATAGTTTTAACAATAGCTTTACTATTATTACTTATGTAATAAATATTTCATTATAATGAGAGGACAAAAGAGGTAGACCACCCTGTAGAAATAAGTAACAAGTAATTGTACATGCTTTCAATGCAATTAATATCTGTATTCTTCTACTATTTGTGAGTATTAACATAATAATCAAAGACTGTATTTGGTGTATCTTATATCATAGGTACAATAAAATTCCACTTCATTTGTTTTAGCAATTTGCACTAAGTATTTTTAAAACATTTCTTAAGATTTAAGGGTATTAATATAATATATAATATAAGGATTTAGATTTATTTGTTGTGAGATGATTTATATATGTATAGACATGCTAAACAGTTATAGTTATAATTTATAAATGTAAATACTTTTTTATAATATTCAAATCATTTACAAGCCAACAATATTTAATTGCATTATAATAATTATATATGTAGATACATTTATTTCATTTATTTCATTTGTATTAATTGTTTTATTTAAAATAATATATTTGGAATTATAAAATATAATAAAAGTATTTTTACAAAAAGAAGATCCTAAAAAAATTACATTTGTCTAATAATAAATTTTTAATTTTGATAATAATACTACTAATATATTATTTATGTACAAGATAAATATTATTTGCATCATTTAATTGGCTCCTGTCATAGTTGACAAATTGCTTTGATTACAGGGTGGTCAAAAAACAGATGATAAGAATACGATCGAATCCGAGGGTGTTCAGAAAACTGAGAATGCGACTGAGCAATCAGAGCAAATGGAGCTAACGGAGGAGATGCAGCCTTCCAGCGAACAGGCACAGTCTTAAGCTTCAGGCTACTCCTCCATATAAACAATTGAACAGTTGAAATTACACAAGTATTCTGTTTTCAAACTTCAGAACGATTTGATTCTTTCTTATTTCAATGTGCAGTATATTGAGAATACTGCAGTTTAAATACTTGTATCATTTTTAATTACAAAATTTGTATTATTATCCGTTTTTTTGTCATTTGTAAAATATCATTTCTTTGCAATATAAGTTCATTCTTAGCATTTATATTATAAGTGTGTAATGTTAAACTATCATGCTAAAATATTTTGAGAAAGTAGAGTTTAATGATGAATAACATTTGAATAATAGATATTCTCTTATTTTTAGTAATACTTATAAAAACTAAACTGTTTTTTTTTCTTACATCATTAGTATATGCTTATATATAAATGTAAAATTTTGTATATTTCCTATACATATACTTTCATGTTAGAAGTATTAAATATCTAACCTTTTTTCACACCAATATATCTATATAAAAATCTGGCCTTTGTTAACTCTGTTATCATAAAGCTCTTTAATTGCTCTTTGGCCAGTATACAGTGCTGCAAGCTATAACATTCTTAATGGAAAATTTTGTGGAATCGCTAAAATATTCTCTGACATACAAATTTCATTCAATATAAAATGTTTCTTAAATATTTTCTTCATAGCTTGTGGCTCTGTATCAAGATATGACAATTTTTGTAATTGTTTGTTATTATGTGCCGTAGTATTGAATATTTTCATTTCAATAATACATGACTTCCACAAAATATAAATTCAGAACAAGATAAATTTGTAATTAAGATACGTATTGTAAGAATAAATCGTATTTCTATAAGTTCTAAATCTGGTGTCCCCAATTACTCTATAAACCACAAAAAGAATTCTAATATGCGTTCAATAATCGTTCTGAAATATGAAAATGACCTTTTAGATTTCATGCATCAAATAACTTTTATAAAAGTATTGTCTTCCTAAAATTTTGATCAATTATACGTTACATCATCGCATATAATAAAGATATACTTTGTTTAATTAATATTATGTGATAAGTAAAATTATTAGATCTACAATATTAGATATACTTTTACTTCAAAACAATTTAAAATAAGAATTTATTATATTGCTTAAAAGTTTTAATGAAGGACTTTTTATACTGCCAATCTAATTCTATATTTTAGGACCATAATATTTACATTTTTTACAAATTACTTTCTAGTGCTATACATTTGTGGTAACCATAAAATATTTTTTTTTGTAACTATACACAAAATTTATCCTATGTTAATTGTTGAT